GGGGCCGGCGGCACAGGGCGGCAGCCCTTGAATAATGATAATAATGATACTAATGATAATAGAATAGTGACAATAAGAATAACAATGATAATAAGAATGATATTAATGATAATAGTATTAGTGACAATAAGAATGAAAATAAAATAAAAAAAAAACAAAAAAAAACTGATTATTATTATCAGTAGTAGTAGTAGTAGCAGTAGTAGTAGTAGTAGTAGTAGTAGTAGTAGTATTGTCGTTATTAGTATTATTATTATTGTTTTTGTAACAACAAAAAAAAAGCCGTCCAACCTTCTGGTTCCAACACGTTTAAATCTAAGCCGCTCCGGGGAAAAGGACGCCGGCGCCGGGGCCCGCCGCAGTCTACGCAGCGCCAGGCTGACCTGTTGAGGGGCCTCCCAAACCAACGAAGGCAACCTCTCTGTTCGGCTTTAAAGAAGCCAAAGGAACCGAGGCTTTTGCGATCAGAGCAAATCGGCCGGCGAGGGGGTGCCTCCCAAAAAAAAACCATCAAGGGGGGAACCTCTTGGCCGCTTTTTGGTCTTGTTGTAAGGAAGCCAAAGGAATCCATGCATTTCCGGAGTTCTTCCGCAAGAAGGGCTTTAGGGTGGATTCCACGAATTGAGGCCAAAAACCAATGACGTCCTCGAAATTGCCCTCAAAAACTTGGAGCTGTACCGGATTTCCTATCTCCGTAGGCAATCTAAAGAATAAATTTCTTCATATAAACCACTTTGTTTTTCTCAAAACTCCGCCACTTGGACCCTTTCTGGTGCAGTGAGGGGGCACTTCGGCACTCGGAAAAGGCCCAAAACGCCCGCCTGGGAGGCGTTCCCGGCGCCGGGCTCCACGGGCTCCGGGGGCTCCGCGGGCTCCGCGGGCTCCGGGGGCTCCGCTTGCTCCCAGGACCCGGAGCTGAAGACGCAGTGGTCCACCTTGGGGTCGCGGCACTGCCAGCGGCCGCACACCTCCGCGAGTGACTCGATCGCCGAGAAGTCGAGAGAGAGTCGATCGGCGCAAGCTGGAAGTTTCTTCTAGGCTCGTAAGGGGTCTCTTGGGTCTCGAGCCTTCAGCTTGGTTTCGGGTTTAGTTGAGGTATTCTGGAGGACTTCCTGGTACCTTTTTTTGGTGTCCTTCTTGGGAAGGCTAAACCGTCCCCCTGAACTGAAAATCCCGGGGGGACGATGCTGACAAGCGGACAAGCTGCTCCTTCCCATGGCTCAACCATGCGCAACCGAGCCAGAAACTGAGCGACACAGGTTACAAGGCGAGGGGAGGCTCACTTCAATTTGTGACCACTATGCTCCCTTCATTTTTTGGCCAGGGGAGAGCAACAAGTAAGGCCAACAAGTCAAGACCCAGGCCAAAGAAGGCGATAGCAGTTTTCTGCCCGATGGATCCCACCAGTGTTGCTCGCCGCGTCGGAACCATCGATGACGATGGATCACACAAGACAGATCAGTGTTCCCGGGCGTCTGTGTTCCACGCTGAATGTTCCCTAGAAAGGACGCCTGTCAGGCAAATCATTTCTGTGCCCAAGCCAAAAATACGGAACCACGCGATTCACGCGATTCACGCGATTCACCACCGATCTGGTGAGCTTGGGAAAAAATGCAACCAGGTGATACTCCTAACAGCCACCCTTTGCACCCTTCCGGAACACGGAGCCGCCGCCTGCAAGTAGTCCATAGGAACTGTCACCTCTGAGCAGTTGAAGTTGTCGTCTGCCACCTGAGGGAGGTGCGAGGGTGGATTTCAAGCAAAACCGACGGGAAATCCCAGGGGTTGGGCATTTGAATTGTAGCTGGGCAAGTAGAGGGTCTAGGAGATCTGAAGGAAACATGTAGAGAAGTGTTCCTTCACACCAACAAAATAAGCTCAGGCAATATCCCCAACAGCACCACACCCTCCCAGTCTTCGCGGAACGCCTCGGAATTCACCTCACCGCCGGTGTTGCTGAGGATGTCGCCTTGTAACTTTATAAAGCAAAGCTAAGAGTGCCAGCGCAATCGCGCCCTGATCGGGGCCCGACGGCGCAATCGGGTCGGGGCCCGACGGTGCAATCGGGGCCCGATCGGGGCCCGATGGTCCCGTGGTGCAGCCCCAGCATATTATAGCTCAACGCCGGCTTTCCTTAGGATGCGGCCTTACAACTGTATCTAGCAAAGCTAGGCGATGCCAGCTTGGTACAGTTGACGGGGCCCGACTGAGTCGGGCCCCGATTCGGGCGCGAATGCGCAATCGGGGCCGATCGGGCCCTGACGGTGAAGCTTTGTTGGAGCCTTTCCTCAGGGCTGCCCCATAGCTTTTGCAGAACTTGGCGGAGTAATACTCAGCAATGCCAAGCATGTACTCAGCTGCACCGTGAGTCCCGCAGCAACGTGATTTGATTTGCCACAAAGCCAACATTTCGGGCCGCGTTGCCTGAGCAAGTGAGCAAGTGACCAAAACAGTGAAAGCTTGCTGAAAACCATTGATTTCGGTTTTGCTTAGTGTTCCG